CGACAAATGAACCGGTACAAAATGTCTACTTCATGTCTACATCTTTTTATTGATACTAACGATGGGCGACGGCTAAAAGGTACGATCTATTACCAAACAGTAGGATGATAGATTAATTGATGTCTATTCTAAAAACTAGATATCAGTCTCCTATTGTTAAATTTCAGTTTTTGTGTAGTGATGCACAAACAGCAAAAGTATAAGGTTTGTGTATTTGTTGATATGATATGGTATTTATGGCATTTTCCCGCATTTCTTCCATTTAACTAACAGAAGAGGGAAAAGAGAGGCGAAAGATATCAAAGGGACATTCAAACTCATACGTCGAAAATAAACTGACAACGTCATGGCTAAAAAGAAAAAGATAAACAACAGTACACAAAACACAACATACAAAACTAAAGACTGAGCAACACAAAACCCACCAAAAAACTGGGAATAATCTCAGAACTCTTAAACTACTCCAGCAATGCTTAGAAAAACAATGAATGCAATAATAATTTCACGTGTTCTTCTGTCTTCATTACATATGGTTGTTCGTCCAACTAATAGTTAAACCGGGTTTGTCATGTTTGTGACAGGCAATGATTAACTTAATGACGTAAGCACTTGCCTCAATCCGTGGGAAGTTCCAGCGATTTCGACGGTTTTCCATGCCACTTGTTTTGTTAATACTTGAATTATATATCAACTGAAATAGGCATGGTATCTTAATATCGGAGTGTTGCATTGCCTCTTAGGAAATCATATATCTAATGAACTTTTCACGTACTTGGTGATATTACTAACATTTTATTTTGACAGTTATCTTACAATTGTAAGCTACCAACTCCTTTTGATGCAGAATATTTGCATCTACTGCTAACACGGATCAATGTGAGATCTTGGTGATTGGCAAACAACTGATTTGTCTTTAATATAAGTTAAAACTATAGCCCACTGGGCGTTAAATAAAAATCTGATAGTGAGCCTACCTCAAATTATAACAAAGACATAAGATTGTGTATGGAGTATTCACATATGCAGGTAGGCTGTCAACGATTTGAACGAATAAATCAAATATCATATACAGTTTTCAAAGGATTGAACGGTTTGAATTTTTTAAACCCATTTTACTTTTTGAAATTGTAGGAGCCAAATAAAGGATCTTATCATACTTCCTGCTTCCGCTCCTCAGCATCAAAATTAATCGACTAGTTACAACCATGGTATATCACTTGGTCTATGTTGTCTTATATAGTAAGAAGGTCATATCTTTGTAGAGTGGACACTTTTTACTCAACAAAATGTTCATAATCGTTTGATAAATTCTGTTTGGTGATTTACAGCATATTCAATAGAACTGTTTTTAGATTTCGAATATTCAAAACACAATATAACTATATTTTGGGGAACTTTTCTTTTTCATTGTGTATCTGCACTCAATAGAGAATATTAATCACTGACTTATTTCAAATTGTGTACAATGTATCATATCTGTGAGTTCTATGGACATCTAGGGTCACGTTCAAAACCTCAAATGATTTCATTTATGTATCTTCAATAATCAAATTACATGCTAAATTTATCTATGACCGCGTGTTAGTACTCAACCGTAAAAAAGAGATTTTCGGTCTTAAACATATAAACATTTTACATATGTTCCTTTCTTTTTGTCTTTGATCTGTTTTTCTAATGAATTTACATTGTCTTGTTTTGGTATCTTCTACTCTTTTTAAAAAAGGAATGTAAACAAATCAAACAGTTTGATAGACCTGGAACTTTTTCAAATAAAGACAATAGTGTTTATTTTGGCCATATCTGTTTGGCAATTCTAAATGTCATTATCGGTAGTTCTTTATGTATTTTTGAAAAAAATCGTCGAACATGGTTATTTGAACCATTTTCATTAAATGAAATACCTTCCAAAATTTGGATAAACACGATGTTTTATAAGTGATACTGCAGATCACTATGAAGCTGTTGCTGATCAACATTGGAATCATATAAAACCACTATAGAAATAACTAGTGTTTAGGGGAGGCGGCAACATTGGAATCATAAAACCACTATTAAATAACTAGTGTTGCTGGGAAACATTGGAACATTTAATACCACCGAATAACATCGAGATAAATCAAAGATCCCGCCAATTGTTTCACAACCTCAATACATTAATCCATTTTGCACCTGCACTATAAATATACATGAACAGGTCTAATTTGTAATATTTGTAGTTTTATATATTCCAGTAGGTTTATCCTTCTAACACTGGATAATGAACATCTGTTAACTACTGTTGCCTTTTAATTGTCTGTTAGCCCCTGACTAAACATCCTAAATCTAGTGCTTCGCCACTCATTTGACTTCAATATTCTTTTTGGAATGAAAATGATAAGTAATGAATTATTGACTTTGGTGGCCTTCGGCTGTTGTCTGCTCTTTGGTCGGGTTGTTGTCTCTTTGACATGTTCCCCATTTCCATTCTCAATTTTATTTGAACATCGGTATACTACTGTTGCATAAATTCATGTTCTAAACTTTGGGTTGAGACAATCAAATGCAGATATATCCTTATGGAGGTGGGCACTGATTTCGTTAACATAGGTTTGTATTCATAAAAACGATCAATTATAAAAAAAAACCGACTTAATTTGAAAATGTGAAATTAGATACTAGTACTGATCGTACTAGTTAAATGAAAGCTCAAGTAGACAAAAGAGACATATTTAAGGAACCAATATCATTCTTTAAATTTACTGTTCATAAAATGTTCAAATCTTTTGAAACACTAATGTGGTTCTTTCCCAGAAATATATTGACTAAGGCAAATTTGCCAAAGCTTTTGGGAATTTTATTGTTTTCAATTCTTATAATGCAATTAGTATGTTTCATTCGCATAAATGCATAGAATTTGTAACTCCAGACAGATATTTTACACCATTTTTTTTCATACAACAGTATTCTGTCACCTGTTTCACAAAGTGTTACATACTCTAAACCTTTCTCTATACACTGTGTTTACTTTTATGATTCTTATTTCAAATTTTCTTTCTGCAGATAATGGTATATTCAGTACTTTGAACTTTTGAGGGTTGCATTTATAGTAAAGGCTATTTGTATTAATATAATTTTCTTTCCTCTGAGAATGATCTTTTCATTCGAGTGTTTGAGTGTATCTCCTTCCATTACAATACAATTACTGTATCACATTTTATCACATTTTGCCTATAATTCTTTAGATTCATTTGATGTTTTCTGTTTTGATTGAAATATTTTTATGTGAATTATCTCACTAAAGATACCAGGCTTATAATTTGTCACTCTTATATGACTTAGCCAGAGTTCTTTGGTTAAAATTGAACTAACAAACAAATATGTTTAAATGAAAATATTGATTTTAACACCATATATCCGTGTTTACTTTGAAATTGGTTGCTGCTTCTTTTTCAAATGTTGGGTCCATGTCGTTTACGTTATCTGCTGATTTTGTTTTCAAGTGTTGGCTCCATGTCGTTTACGTTATCTGCTGATTTTTTATCATATGTTGGCACCATGTCGTTTACGTTATCTGCTGATTTTTTATCAAAATTATTGTTGGCTCCATGTTGTTTACGTTATCTGCTGATTTTGGTATGATTTAATCATTATTTATAGTTTTCAACGCAATGGTGAATGGTTGCAAGGTTTGTTTACTACTACATAAAATATTTGCCTGGTCATTCAACTAATCTTTTAACTTAATTTATTTTGATTTCAATTTCAATACAAAACTAATTTTAGATTAGTGTTCTAAACATAGAGTCTTTAGTTTCAGGTATGGTAAACTATCTTTTCAATGGCCTTTACTTTGAATTATTAGAAAATTAAAAACCCAGGATTAGGTCGTTGTAAGACTGCTTTGACGCAATATTATTAAACACTGTTTCGACATACTTTGATATGTTTCGTTCTCTCTTGGTTTAGTAGCCTGAGATCCTTGGAGAGTCTCATCTCATAACAGTCACCGCACAATATAAAATTCTCCCGTGCTATTTGTTAAGGTAATGTTGTTTTTGTTATCGGTGAATAGAACATTTTAATTTTGTGAAACTATTAAAAGTTGCAACATACTGATATATATACTAAGGCTTTTCTACCTCAAAAATAGATTACCTTAGCTGTATTTGGCAAAACTTTTAGGAATTTTTGGTCCTCAATGCTCTTCAACTTCGTACTTTATTTGGCCTCTTTAACTTTTTTTATTCGAGCGTCACTGGTGAGTCTTTTGTAGTCGAAACGCGCGTCTGGTGCAAATACAAAATTTCAATAATGGTACATGTATCTATGATGAGTTTATTCACAAGTGCGTCCATTTGAAAGATAAAAAAACAAAATTGTCCAATTTTATTCAATTTTATATAAACTATTAAAAAATGCAAGATGAAAAAGTTATATTGTTTCAACTATAGTTCATGTTACCATTATGTGTCGACGTATTATTTAACCACTGGACTATTATTATATGTATTGTAGAGGATAGTCTGAAAAATCAATTATCTCCTTTTTGGGGGGGGGGGGGGGGGGGAGGGGATTATTTCTGTATGATACTTTTGTCAAAATACAGTTCTCGGTAATTACAGAGAATTCCAGACATGAAGGAAGATTACAAATTGCTAAAACCTAAAGAGAAGGTGGAAATGAAACGGATGACGCTTTGAATTTGTGTTTTGATATTGTTGTCAAATATTAGTTGTATTCTTCCCTAGAGGACCTATTGATATTGCGATCTCTTTTTCACTCGTCACTGCATTTATCTCTTATTGAAAGTTGGTTGAGTTGACTTTTGGCAATATTTTGATGCTTTATAGATAATTGTTGCATTCCTACATCAAACTTTAAAGTGATTGACAGTTGAATAGAGTTTAGAGTTTTGGCATGATTAAGGAGAAACACTATTTCTTTAAATACGAGAGCACAGGTTTTGTACGGTTATTTTGCAATTTAAATTATTATGTAAACTATTTTCATCTTCTCGTTTTTTTATGTAAAGCCGGTGTAACTCGAGAAAGTCGATTAAAGGATATATAAACCAACGAATGCTAACTACGAACTGCTCGTTTATGATTATTATTAATAATTATATATTTGTCAACAAAGACAGCATTTGACGTACGAATGTGACTATTAGATATTGGTGATTTATGTGAAACGGACATATTTACTACCAACATTCAATTAGATGTATGATACTCTTGACAAATGAGTGTTAATGAAAATAATATTCCACGCGGATTAAGATAATAACACAATCCATATAATTACCAAGTGTTGCATTTGCATGTCACAATTTGTATGAAACAGGTGAATTCGACGCGGTCACGATCAAAGTATTTTGTTACGTTTACAGAAATGTACATTTGTATGAAATAGATTGTATCCGGAAGACGTCATATTAATTACAGAAATCGACACATAATTTATTTGTTTTAATTAATGAATGATGGAGTATTAATGTAAAGTCTGTTTTAATTGGGGAATGATGGAGTATAGGTGAAAATATGTAAACTATTATATATTTTACAACATCTGTTACACAGCGGATAGTGCACATTTTGACTTAAGTATGATCGTTATAGGAAAACATCCTAAACTAGTTGGATACAGCACTTGATGTACTGACAAACGTTACATTTTCTGTCGATAAAATTTATTGTAAGAAAATAATATCAGAGTTTTTCTGTGTACAGCATTTAAAAATATTAAGTATTAAGTAAACGAGCAATTGGTCAAAATGACTATGTACAACTTTACAGACCTTGAGGCTTGGCTTCATTATAAGGACTATGAAAAAACTTTTATAACAATTGAAGATCAAAAAGACGTCATTGTGAAAAAGAAATTAGAATGTTATGGACTAATTTTTACGGAACCACCGAGGACAAGCAATGGTAAGTCTCATTTTTTCACTATTGTTTTTTACAGGGAAGCGACCTTTTGATCAACAACGAAGAACAACAACGAAAGGTCCTGTTTCTTCAAGAATTACAGTGTAATGAAAGTATGCAACAAGAGAAACAAATTGAAGGTAGCGTTACATAACATCTGTAGGAATATATTGCTAACCCGATCATATTGATCATTAAGGTGATCACCGTTTTTGGTAGAAGTATTTGACATAGGGGCACATAAATTTCACCATTTCTTGTAAGAGGTATATGTATTTGGAATAAGGGACATAGATTTCACCATTTCTTGTTTGATGTACATGAATCTGGAATAGGGGACATACATTTCACCATTTCTTGTTCGAGGTACATGTATTTGGAATAGGGGTACACACATTTCACCATTTCGTGTTAGAGATATTTGGCAGAGGGACATATATTTCACCATGTCTTGGTAGAGGTATTTGGCATAGATACATAGATTTCGCCATGTCTTGTTAGAGGTATTTGACATAGAAACACCAAATTTACCATATCTTGGTTAAGGTATTTGGTATTGGGACATACATTTCACAATTTCTTGTTAGAGTTATTTGGCAGAAGGACATATATTTCATCATGTCTTGGTAGATGTATTTGGCATAGATACATAGATTTCGCCATGTCTTGTTAGAGGTATTTAACATAGAAACACCGAATTTACCATATTTTGGGTAAGGTATTTGGTATTGGGACATACGTTTCACAATTTCTTGTTAGAGGTATTTAGCATAGGGACACGCAATTCACTATTTCTTGTTAAAGATATTTGGCATAGCGACGTCCATTTCACAATTTCTTGTTAGAGGTAATTGGCATAGAGACATCCATTTCACAATTTCTTGTTAGAGGTATTTGTCATAAGGACAAACCTTTCACAATTTCTTGTTGGAGGTATTTGCCTAAAAAGTTAAATCACAAAAATACTGAACTCCGAGGAAAATTCAAAACGGAAAGTCCCTAATCAAATGGCAAAATAAAAAAAACCAAACACATTAAACGAATGAACAACAACTGTCATATTCCTGACTTGGTACAGGCATTTTCTAAGGGACACACATTTCATCATTTCTTGTTAGAGGTATTTACCATAGGGACACGCAATACACTATTTCTTGTTAGAGGTATTTTTCAAAGAGACATCCATTTCACAATTTCTTGTTAAGAGATATTTGGCATAGGGATATATAATTCACTTTTTCTTGAAAGAGGTATTTGGCTAAGGGACACACATTTCACCATTTCTTGTTAGAGGTATTTGGCTAAATGACACACATTTCACTTTTTCTTGTTAGAGGTATTTGGCATAGGGACATACAATTCACTATTTATTGTTAGAGGTATTTAGCATAGAGACGTACATTTTACCATTTCTTGTTGGAGGTATTTGGCTAAGGGACACACATTTCACCATTTCTTGTTAGAGGTATTTGGCATAGGGACACACAATTAACCTTTTGTTGTTAGAGGTATTTGGCATAGGGACATACATTTCACCATTTCTTGTTAGAGGTATTTTGCTAAGGGACACACATTTCACTATTTCTTGTTAGAAGTATTTAGCATAGGGACAAACAATTCACTATTTCTTGTTAGAGGTATTAAGCATAGGGACATACATTTCACTAATTGAGATATGAAACAAGGAGAACGATATTTTAAATTATATTCAAAAGTGTTCAGGTTTAAAAAAAAATTTTCATAATTCTTGAAACTTCCTTTTGTGGGCTCTTTTTAATATTCAGCTTTTAAGGTATATAGGGTGTCGTCCGCCATCTGGGATTGTACAATGGCAGAAGACAATCGGTCTAGATCTTTAAAAAATATGCAAATTTTGTGAGAGGAATGCAATTCATGGTTAAGATTTTTTACCATAATGCAAAGAATCAGTGTTCCATCTAAATATTATTCTTCAACTTAGTTATAAAAGGGGGTATCTCAGACACTCTTATCTCATAAAGGATTCTTCAACTTTGTTATATAAGGGGGTATCTCAGACACTCTTATTTCATAAAGGATTCTCCGACTTAGTTATATAAGGGGGTATCTCAGACACTCTTATTTTATAAAGGATTCTTCAACTTAGTTATATAAGGGGGTATCTCAGACACTCTTATTTCATAAAGGATTCTCCGACTTAGTTATATAAGGGGGTATCTCAGACACTCTTATTTTATAAAGGATTCTTCAACTTTGTTATATAAGGGGGTATCTCAGACACTCTTATTTCATAAAGGATTCTCCGACTTAGTTATATAAGGGGGTATCTCAGACACTCTTATTTTATAAAGGATTCTTCAACTTTGTTATATAAGGGGGTATCTCAGACACTCTTATTTCATAAAGGATTCTTCGACTTAGCTATATAAGGGGGTATCTCAGACACTCTTATTTTATAAAGGATTCTTCAACTTAGTTATATAAGGGGGTATCTCAGACACTCTTATTTCATAAAGGATTCTTCGACTTAGTTATATAAGGGGGTATCTCAGACACTCTTATTTCATAAAGGATTCTTCGACTTAGTTATATAAAGGGGGTATCTCAGACACTCTTATTTTATAAAAGATTTTTCGACTTAGTTATATAAGGGGGTATCTCAGACACTCTTTTTTTTTATAAAGGATTCTTCAACTTAGTTATATAAGGGGGTATCTCAGATACTCTTATTTTATAAAGAGGATTCCTCAACTTAGTTATATAAGGGGGTATCTCAGACACTCTTATTTTATAAAGGATTCTTCAACTTAGTTATATAAAGGGGTATCTCAGACACTCTTATTTCATAAAGGATTCTTCGACTTAGTTATATAAGGGGGTATCTCAGACACTCTTATTTTATAAAGGATTCTTCAACTTAGTTATATAAGGGGGTATCTCAGATACTCTAATTTCATAAAGGAATATTTAATAAATTTCCCTGTTTTGTTTTGTAGCAAGAAAACGAGTTTCGTGATCGCAATTTTTATTTTTAGAAGCTAATTGTAGGAGCTATCTACTTATATTTTATTCTAGAATTATCTTGTTTACTTTATTTTTTTTCTGTTCACACAAAAATGGTTTTTCCATGTATAATCTTACAAAATCATATAATTTTGCACAACCTGTATGGACTCATACAGCGTGGTGATCCATACTTTTTATCATTTTTTGAAAAATAGCATGATTTAAACTACATTTTTGCTAAATATTAAAAAATGCTTTCGTTTGTGATTTAGACCAAATACACCTTTACAAAGATAAATCCTAGCTTTTTTTAATTGAAGTTATATTTACTGAACTACAGCACGTTTAATGATGCTCCAATTGACGGTATGTGTCATTCATATGTTTCACCTATTGGTTAACCTTTTCATTCCAGAATTACGATGCAATACGGATTGTTATCGTATTTCGTAATAAACAAACAAAAGTAGCGTAAATTGTAACTTAATATTTATTAAACAAGTGCATACATGAATACAATATAATGTAATGCTTATACTCGTAAAACAATCGTGTATAAATGCCACTCAAGTACACAAAACTCTTCGATTGTGACAGAAGAATACAAACAAAAAATACAAACAAAAAATGGCAAACTTATGCACAAATTGTTCTAGAATATATATTTCATATATTCATGTCAACAATTGTTATTATGTCTTCATGTACAATTTAGTGTCTATTGAATGACATGCATAGTTATTCGCTATCAGCTATATAAAATGTCATTTATGTGTTTAAATGGATCAATTATCTAACTTTAACATGAATGAACATTGACATTTATTTTAATTTCAAACTTTAGCGGGCCTCGGTGGCCGAGTGATCTAAGTAGTCGAACGTACCACTTTATACCTAGCCTGTCAACACTGAGGTGTGTGAGTTTGAATCCCGCAGGCGTCAGGTGCATTCGACTCCAATCTCAATTGACTAGGTTTTCCTACCAAAGGTCGGTGGTTCTCTCCGGGCACCCCATCTTCCTCCACCAATAAAAACTAACCGCCACGAAATAGCACAATAGTGTGGAAAGTGGCATTAAACACCAATCAATCAATCAAACTTTAGCACCTCAAATATTTTACGCTGTCTACTACTTAACAGAAGGTCCGCTTCAATAAAAAGAAATACAATTGTTTAAGTACTATCTTACAAAGATCCTTTACCGAAATATGTACTGTTAATGTATTTTTCAAGTAACAATTGTAAAGTTTTGTCAATTTTTACCACTATTTGCAAAATGTGCATGCATCTTTATGACGAGACCTATCAAACTTTGGAAGGCTGTGTACAGTGGGTTGAATAGGATGAAGGGTCTGATATCTGCACTACTACTTGAAAATGATTGAACGTCCCAATTCCGAGCGAACATAGTTACGTATTGATCATCCCACAAAACCAATCAAACTCTTCGACAATGGTCCAGGTTACCTTTATTTCTATAACCGTGTTTTTACTGAGAAATATTTTTCAACACTTTACACCTTTTAGAAAATCACTCGATTTTTTGGTATTAAATTGGAAAATAAATTAATACATGAACATATTCTGATGTTTGCCAATCTCGACATCTTTTCCGAGAAAAATGGACCAATAACTCGATAAACAACTTACTAATTGAACTGTCCTTATGAATGGTCAAGGGCAAAGATGAAGGTATAAACATGTCATCAGGGAATAAAGCTTTCAGAAATATTTAGAGCTCTAAGGTTGAGAAGTGATGCTGTCTATAGTTAACAGAAGTCTATATCATATTGAAAAGCTTGCCTTTAAATCATACTACCTTCATCTACTTAGTAGATATAATTAAAACTTGCTGTTAGTCTGTATCAATTAAGCTGAAAGATGTATCTTTTAAGTAGCACCTCTGAAATGAAAGACGGCAAATTCCACGCAAATTTTAGATATGTTTAATTTCGATTCAAACTGTTATTTGCAAATTGTAAGATTATGAATTTCGCTTTTTTATCAGTGAATACGAA